AACGCATAAAATGTTCCACTCTTTTACAGTTTTTAACGACGACTAAACTGTTTGGTCGCTTTACGGCTAGCTGTGAACTCCACTGAAAATCTTATCGCTGTTTATTGTCGTTGTTGTTAACTTTTCGAACCAAAATTAACGGCCTTCGAGTAAGAGTTGCGAGAAGCCAAGACTCTCACCTAGCTGGAGAGGTGAAACAACCGGAGAGTCTTTCAACACCGTCAAGGCTCGCTCGCGCGTGATCTCCTTCTCGGTTCGCGCTTAATCTCCAAGCAGACTGTCGTCCTCGCAAACATTTGCATCTCAAAAAACTGTTCAGGTTAAGCCGTACGAAATGAAGTACTACTAATAATGAACTACTTTGAATCCAACAAATGCATCCGATTGTCTCTCTGTCGAACGGCACAAGCGATAATTTTTCCAGATAGTCCTGGGTAAAACAGCACTGCTTGATTACAAATTTTTGCATGAATTGATGCAACGAAGCGCAAAATGTCTTAAAATATTACATATCAGAGCGCCAAATGTTAGGTCTTTCTGCAGGTACCGTCATCACAAAAGAAACAATGGAACCAAACAATAGAGTTCTCCTGAAAGGCTTTATTGTTTGGTTGTATTGTATCTTTTGTTATACGTTATTGGTGCCTCGGTACCAAAGAAAACAAAACCCTGAACCGGATCCTGGTCATAGTAGTAAAATGACGTTATCATGCAAATGGCCCCTTTGGGTCGTATTCGTTTCCCCGCGTATTAAAAGAGACCTTTAGATTTGAAGACGAGGACGACTTCGAGTACGAGATTTGACTTCAAGTTTTTTCGCGTATTCTCGAAATATGGACTTCCCGGAAAGCTTCATTTTACCATAAAAGTTAGCACTGTTATCTTTAGTGAAGGAGGTTACGCGCTTTCACGATCAATGACGACGGCTACCACATTTCCCGCCAAAATGACGTTGGTTCACGCGCGAGCACTACGTAGTATTGACAAAATCTCGTACTCGTACTCGTCTTAGAATCTAAAGCTCTCTAGTGATCGAGTATTCATATTTAGCAGCTAGGCTCTAGGTTAGCAGGCGTGCTTTTTTGTGATTTTTGTTGATATGTCTACTTCGAAATTTGAATTTAAATTGATTAATGTAAATAATTCTGGCGGGAATTTTAATTGAGGCTTAGTATTATGCCGAATGCACACAAAAGAGTAATGAATTAAGGTATAAAATAAATCTATTACTGAAGTCGATCGCCTGTTGAAGTTCTGACTTCCAGTGAGTGGTTTACGGACATGAGAATACAATTATATTTTTGTGGAGTCTGTTCTAACACGTCAAGTTGACACAGCCTGCTAGCTACCCATTAAAACAGGTAAATTACCCCCAAAAGAGCGCTAAAATTATTATTCGCTTGTAATATTTGCCTTACCTAGCTATGACCGATGGCTTAAGATGCCACTTATCTTCATTCCTTTTATCTATTGGAATCTTTGCAGAAAGAACAGGTTATAGGCTCTTCGGCTCGTTTCCTGGGGTTTTACGAAAAAAAGCCTTCCCTGTAAATAAAGTATCTCCAAACAAAATTTAACCCTGTCAATTTTAAGTCACAGAGCAGTTACTGGACACACTGAGCCAAGCCAAAGTTTTTCGAATACAATATTTTGATAGTATTCTGTCAACATAAATACGAATTGCGAAAGGAAGGCAAAATTTTTATCAAAATGGAGTAAAGTATTCATACTGTATTGATATATAAAGAAATACATAATTGACATACGCACACTGGCAAGGTCTAAAAGTAAACAAAGGAAATGTCTTACACCAGTGGCCTGTGGTTTCGCAAATGGAACTATTTAATGTATAGTGAAGGTAAACGCGTGGCGTGTAGAGTCTGGATATAGGTAGTCACCGAAACGACTTTGAGAGTCACATCAACAACAAACAAAAAGGCAGTAAATCACCTTTGGAAACACGAAAAAACCTTCACTTTATTTGAGTCTTAGGCCCGGTTCAGACGCCGAACTTTTCATGAGCCAAACCGTAATACATTAAATTAAGCACATGAAAAGTTCGGCGTCTGAATCAATTAGGAACGCCTGTTTCAATTTGGATCGGCTCAGCCGTTCTTTTTGCCTAGCCTGGCCGGAAATTTCGCCTTTGGAGCGACTTTGGAACAGCTTTGATTCAGACGCCGAACTTTTCATGTACCTAACCTAATGCATAAATTATTATAACTTATTCTAAGCAGTTTGACCGCAATGGGCATTTTTCTCCCTCTGAATTTAGTTCGGCTGAAATTAAGATCGGCATCTAAATCAATTTAGCCGGTCCAAATAATTTGGGTCGGTCTTTAAATTCGAATTAGGTTCGCCTCATGAAAAGTACGGCGTCTGAACTGGGCCTTAATGTATTCAGCACGAAAGTACTACTTCAAGACTCTGGTCGTTTAGCTTTTACATACTGGGCAAACAGGTTGGTTCACGGTTTGGGCAAATGGTGAGCAAAATTCAGGAAAGGTGAATTTCGTCGCGGACTCGAGTTTACCATTTGTACAAATCAGTTTCATTTACCTAAAAACGGCTGCGAAGGCGTGAAACTGGTATCAAAGATGGCTTTGAAGCAAATGGAGCACGAATTTCCGTTTGGAACATTCTGTCCTGAAAAACAGGACTGCCTTTTCAGAAGTTCCGTTGCTCCCGCAAAATTTCCACTGGAACGACCCAAACGGTCTTGTTCCCTTTATTTTGCAACCGGATTTTCCGGAAATTTTTTGTAAATGGTAAACAACCATTTCTCATTTCATTTGGGGACGAGATCCTCCATGGTCATCCGAGCCGCGCGAAGGTCTAGCCGTTTGCAGGGCAAAGGCACTCAAATAATTTCTCAGTTATTTCAAGACCCTGATTATTGGTCCTGCCCCGGGAATCGAACCCGCGACCTCCCACTTTTCAGTTTTAAAGGTACTCTAATGACTAAGCAAGTCGCCCCTTCGGTCTTTTCTTGGAACAAGACAGAAGTTTATGATAGTTGACATTAGAGCATTTTTACAAAAGGAAGTTGGTCAGAAGCGATTGTCAAAAAACGTAACGATTTATATGGCCCACATGGGAAACGGAAAAACGTAAAGAAACAAATCGCTTATCTTAAACTTATTGCTGAGAAAAGGAATAAAGTAAACTTACTTATGCAATATTTTGTGTTCTTGATGTCTTTTTCAAGCGATCTTGGCTGATTTTGCGAGCAGAAGAGGATTTTCTTTTATCAAGACAGGATCGTAAAACCAGATAGCCGAGATTTCGCCGCTCTCTCGGGTCATACCCGAGAAGAGACTTTTCAAGGCAGGAGCGCGGGTTCGTTTCCCGAACAGCGGTTGGTAATAGAGCCTAAAAACCGACCGCTTCAAAAAGAGAAAGAGAAAATATGACACAAATTNCTCGAGTTTACCATTTGTACAAATCAGTTTCATTTACCTAAAAACGGCTGCGAAGGCGTGAAACTGGTATCAAAGATGGCTTTGAAGCAAATGGAGCACGAATTTCCGTTTGGAACATTCTGTCCTGAAAAACAGGACTGCCTTTTCAGAAGTTCCGTTGCTCCCGCAAAATTTCCACTGGAACGACCCAAACGGTCTTGTTCCCTTTATTTTGCAACCGGATTTTCCGGAAATTTTTTGTAAATGGTAAACAACCATTTCTCATTTCATTTGGGGACGAGATCCTCCATGGTCATCCGAGCCGCGCGAAGGTCTAGCCGTTTGCAGGGCAAAGGCACTCAAATAATTTCTCAGTTATTTCAAGACCCTGATTATTGGTCCTGCCCCGGGAATCGAACCCGCGACCTCCCACTTTTCAGTTTTAAAGGTACTCTAATGACTAAGCAAGTCGCCCCTTCGGTCTTTTCTTGGAACAAGACAGAAGTTTATGATAGTTGACATTAGAGCATTTTTACAAAAGGAAGTTGGTCAGAAGCGATTGTCAAAAAACGTAACGATTTATATGGCCCACATGGGAAACGGAAAAACGTAAAGAAACAAATCGCTTATCTTAAACTTATTGCTGAGAAAAGGAATAAAGTAAACTTACTTATGCAATATTTTGTGTTCTTGATGTCTTTTTCAAGCGATCTTGGCTGATTTTGCGAGCAGAAGAGGATTTTCTTTTATCAAGACAGGATCGTAAAACCAGATAGCCGAGATTTCGCCGCTCTCTCGGGTCATACCCGAGAAGAGACTTTTCAAGGCAGGAGCGCGGGTTCGTTTCCCGAACAGCGGCTGGTAATAGAGCCTAAAAACCGACCGCTTCAAAAAGAGAAAGAGAAAATATGACACAAATTCGTTTCCTTTATTCATTTTCTTCATAATAAGCTAGGCTAAGCCAGAAAGACTGATTTTGTATTAAATTTTTACGTTTCCCATAAGACCATGACCAGTTGAGTTACGTCGAATGTTGTTAGATGCAGTGAGTTTAAGGACGCCCGTGATGTTGATAAGTCGTCGTGTGACGCCGTTTAACTTAATCAAGGGCAAGAAAATCAGAGTTGCACATCTTATAACTTTTCTACTTTTGATCATTTGAGGCTATTGCCGCACAAGTCCGCTTAAACTTATAAAAATATAGCACAAACTGTTGCGTTTACAAATTCCGTCTTCTAACGATTGAACGCAAAAATCAGGACAAGAGCTCGTAGTGAAACTGTATTGACATTTCTGTTAGAAATCATGCATTGGGCGCCCAACCTACAGATTAGTCATCTGCTAGCAGATAACTAACTAATCTGTAGCTTAGGCTGATTTCCAAAATTAGCTGTTGGCTGTTAGCCAATGAGATGACAGGTAGTCAGTACATTATATAATAAAAACAGTTATGCGGACGTTAGTAGACACAGTAAACCGTTTTGCTTGGTTAGTAACCAACGGAAGCTCTGACCTCCGGGTTGTCGGGCTTATTATTTGTTTTTTTTTTTGTTGATGTTTTTTTTTGTTGTGTTTTTTAAGGTCAGTCAGTGTTGAAACATGACAAGAGACGGATACAAGACGGTTCCTGATGAAGACCACACAGAGAAAGTCAGCTGTCTATCATTCATGTTCTTTCATTGGATCAACAATGTGTTCAAGACAGGTAATGAACGACCAATAGAGCAAAGTGACTTTTTGCCTCTTTCGGAAGAAAACACGTCCTCTTTTCTAATCGAACACCTTCAGAAAGAATGGAACAAGGAAAAAGCGAAGTGCAAGGGAAAGAAAAAACGACCAAAACTTTGGAAAAGCGTTCTAAAACTGCTTCCTCTCAAAGAAGTGCTGATTCTAACCGTGAACTACGCTTTGTATTCTCTGTCACGCCTCCTGCAGCCATTGCTTCTAGGATTTTTTATGGTATCTCTGATGTCACCAGAATTACACTCGGTGTATCTTTTGTATGGTTGTGCCTTAGGCATGGGTATCAATGCTTTGATTGGTTCGCTTGCCATGCACCACTTTGACTACAGAGGTGAAGTGTGGGGACTTCGATTTAGCAGCGCCCTCAAAGGATTAATTTACCTCAAGGTAAGGATATGACAGTCATTCCCGCCCTTCCCATTTTCTAAGGAAAAAAGCCCTGGGAACGAGGTTGGATTTTTTTTCCCTACAAGGACCTCCACAAGAATAAACCTCTCCTTTAATGTGAAAACTTCAGCAGCGATCTTAGCCGCAAGAAACCAAACTTTATTCAATAACCTCCTGAATGATACGTATAAAGAGAACACTATAAAATCCTTTATGTACGTATATAACTATAGTTGTCTAAACTGAAAATTTCTTATTATCCACTTCCCTAAGGACTCTTTAGAGTTATTAATCACATTTGTTTGCGGGGCTTTTTGCCAGACTACTTACGATCAATGAAGTAGCAATTTATGCCGGAATACCCCCTAATATGAATCTGAATTTGACATCGACACGACACCCATCAGGGATTCCGTCCCCGCATATATGTTACTAAAACGGAGAACTGGGAGACGGGAACGAGCACGGGGAACAGGAAAATGAAAAAATGGCAACAAAGTAGAGAACTGGAAATGAAGTTACTGATAGGGCTGAGGTTGCAGTTAGGTTTTTTTTCCCATCCTTCATTTTTGCCGTTTCCCGTGCTCGTTCCCCGTTCCCCGCTCCCTGTTCCTTGTGTAGTAACATTTCTCTGTCCCCTGCTATCAAAGAAGAGTGTGAAGGTTTTTAGCGCCTGGGGGAGAGCCCTATCTTATTTGGCCTTGGCAGGTACGTGCCGCTAAAGAGAGTTAGTGTTTTAAAGAGGGTGTCGCTTCTGGACCCGAAGCCTTTAAAAGAGCGGGAATTGGGTTGGCGATGAGCGGTCTATATTTGTGGCACCAACAACAAAAATCTAATTCTATGATCGCAGTTTTTTAAACGTAATTCTCTATGCAAAATGAGCCAGGGTCATTTGATGAGCTCTCTTGTCTTAAACAGGGTAGCGAAAGACGATTTTTGTGCTAAAAGGGTCATTGTTTGAAGTCCTCGGCGACACTTGTACCCAAAACTACCTTGAGTGCCGCCCCAGGCTTTTACGTTCCACAAAATTTTTTTATGAGCAAAGGTCGTGAGGAACCTACCGTTTATGGCTTAACCGAGAAGACTGGTAACGCGAACCGTTTGCAGATAAATAACAAAGGCAGCACTTTCTCCTCAGGCACTTTAAAACCCCAAGCGTTGACCCGGCTGAGTTGTGAACATTCGGCCTCCCTGTTCGGCAGACTTCTATTCTTTTTCATTGGAATTTTAAGGCAAATGTTTCACGCGCAGGGCTCCTGTCACGCGTCAGTGTTTAATTGCTAATCTTTTCGACCTTTTATAACAATCCTCTAACGTCTGGTAGTTTATTTCTTTTTCAGACACTCGTTCTCACGAAGAGTGCCTTGCTAAAGTTTTCAACTGGGCACGTGATCGACCTCATATCAAACGATGTGCAACGATTAGAAGAGGAGGCTTTCAAGTTACTTTTCTCAATAGCTTTTACATTTTTCGAGGTCGCCATAGTCACATTCTGGCTGGTGTACTTCATCGGCTGGCAGTCATTAATGGGCGTTATTTTCCTGGCTTGTCTTTCTCCATATTACGCTCTGCTGTCCGCTGCTGGCTCCAAGTTGCGCCTGCGCACAGCCGGGATTTCTGACCAGCGGCTCTCGTGGATGAACCAGGTAGTCTCTGGGATTCGCGCCATTAAAACAAATGCATGGGAGAAGGAATACCGAGATAGCATTAAAAGTACACGAAGGTAGGAAAAACACAATAAACCTTTTAGCTTGCAAGTTTTGTTTTCCCAATTCAGACCACGTAATGTTCTTGAGGAAATTTACTTTGTCTTTTCATAAATCATGTACAAAAATGCATGGTCATCTGCTATACAAAAGTACGTGGCTTTTGTATTAAAAGACAACGCCCTTTCTATGTTACGCAAAATCTATGTATATAACATAAAGAAAGAATGAAGTAGCCTGAGAACTGACAGCAGACATTTCGTGCGCGACGACACCACTGGGTTTCCTGCGAAATGACGTCCGAGGAACGAGCGCAGAGATTCCATACTAATGAAGTGTAACTAGTCAGATCTGGGTAGTGTCTGATTGGTTGAAGCAAAATTTCCCACACGGCGCGACCAATAAGAAACACTATCCAGATCTGGGGTCAATTTCATAAAACTATTACAAGTGTAATTTACAAATGTGGCTATTATTCTCATTCTCTAAAACAATAGCCACACTTGTAAATTACACTTGTAAAAGTTTTATTAAACTGGCTCCAGGATAGCGAAAAGTCATCAGTGGAGAATTTATGCGCTCATTTCTGAGACGTTATTTCGCGTGAAAACAACTAGTGGCATCACGAAGTGTCAGCAGTTTTCTCAGGCTAAGAATGAAGCGCATCTTCTAAAAATCAATATTTTATTTACAGCCGTGAAATAAGTATTATCCGAAAGAAGAGCATCATTTTGACAAGCTTTGCTGCCTTGGACATGGCTTCAGTGCCAATGGCTGCACTTGTGTCTGTTATCGCAATGGTATTAACTGGGAAACATCTGACACCGGTTAATGTTTTCATGCTTGTCTCTTTCATCTATGTATCAAGAGTCACCTGTTCAATTTTACTGGCCAGTGGTTTGCAAGACACATATGACGCGTATGTTTCACTCAACAGAATAGAATATTTTCTTTTGTTACCAGACCCAACCACGGGCACCGCTCCAGCTCTTCAGTTCGCGGATCCCACAAGAAACATGGAGGGGTCCGCAGCGATGTTGAAGAGTTCTTTATGGCAGCATAAGGAAGAAATGAGAGAAAACGAACAAGATGACATTGATGAACATAAAACCCGTGACACGATGGATACTTTGACTGTGTTAAGATTAAGTTATGAACAGTCAAAGCGAAAAGACGAATTTATTTTACAAGATATCGAATTTAAGGCAGCTTCAGGGAGCTTAGCAGTCATTACCGGGCCAGTAGGTAGCGGAAAGTCTACCCTTCTCTCAGCAATCGCTGGCGAGGTACCAGACAAACAGGGGAACGTAATCTGCAGAGGGGCTCTTGTTTACGCACCTCAGATAGCTTGGGTATTCTCGGGAACAATTAGAGAAAACGTTTTGTTTGGCGAACCATACAATGAATCCAAGTACAAAAGAGTCATTGAAGCTTGTGCGCTGAGAGAAGACATTCATCAGTTTCCCGATTGTGATGAAACAATGGTTGGAGAACGCGGTGAATTGTTGAGTGGAGGTCAGCGCGCCCGAGTAAGCTTGGCACGCGCAGTCTATGCAGATGTGGACCTTTACTTGTTCGATGGCCCCTTAAGCGCTGTAGATGTCAAGGTTGGTCAACATATTTTTGAAAAATGCTTCAAAGACCTGCTGGGTCAAAAAACCCGTGTGATTGATTCCCACCAAGAACAGCTTATGGAAGAGGCTGATAATATCATTGTGTTGTATAAAGGCCGTGTTTTGGGTGAAGGAAGCTTTAATAAGCTGAAAGAAAGAGGAATTCTGAATGAAACTATTGATCCACTCTATACCATGAAAGTAAGCAGTGGCAAGTCAGATCACCACCTTGATGAATGTAATAATGAGGACGATGGTGCATGGGACAAACCTTTCCCACCCCAGGTCAAAAACGAGGCAAAGGGTCTACAGATATCGGAAGAAGATCGCATGATCGGAGTCGTGTCATCCAAGCTTTACTGGAATTACTTCAGAAGCGGGTTGAATTCGCTGGCGATAATTTCATTATTGCTACTTTTTCTCATCTCTCAAGTCAAGAACAGAAATAAGACGCGAACCATTTATACGAGCTGTTCTCGTCTTAGATAAGACATGCTCGTATAAATGGTACAGTTCGCGTCTTATTTAAGACGCGTCTTATTTTTCCTCGTATAAATGGCCCTATTGAGTTCCTCCTTAGACCTTTCTATGTTACGCAAAATCTATGTATATAACATAAAGAATGAAGTAGCCTGAGAACTGACAGCAGACATTTCGTGCGCGATGCCACCATTGGTTTTCCCGCGAAACGACGTCTGAGAAACGAGTGCAGAAATTCCATACTGATGACGTGTAACTAGTCAGATCTGGGTAGAGTCTGATGGTTGAAGCAAATTTCCCACACGGAGTGACCAATCAGAAACACTATCCAGATCTGGGGTCAATTTCATAAAAATATTACAAGTGTAATTTCCCAGTGTGGCTATTGTTCTCATACTCTAAAACAATAGCCACACTTGTAAAAGTTTTATTAAACTGGCTCCAGGATAGTGACAAGTCATCAGTAGAGAATTTATGCGCTCATTTCTAAGATGTTATTTCGCGTGAAAACCACTAGTGGCATCGCGAAGTGTCAGCAGTTTTCTCAGGCTAAGAATGAAGCGCGTCTTTTAAAAATCAATGTTTTATTTTCAGCCGTGAAATAAGTATTATCCGAAAGAAGAGCATCATTTTGACAAGCCTTGCTGCCTTGGACATGGCTTCAGTGCCAATGGCTGCACTTGTGTCTGTTATTGCACTGGTATTAACTGGGAAACATCTGACACCAGTTAATGTTTTCATGCTTATCTCTTTCATCTATGTATCAAGAGTCACCTGTTCAATTTTACTGGCCAATGGTTTGCAAGACACATATGACGCGTATATTTCACTTAACAGAATAGAATATTTTCTTCTGTTACAAGACCCACCCACGGACACAGCTCCAGCTCTTCAGTTCGCGGATCCCACAAGAAACTTGGAGGGATCCGCAGCGATGTTGAAGGGTTCTTTATGGCAGCATAAGAAAGAAATGAGAGAAAACGAAGAAGATGGCATTGATGAACATCAAACCCGTGACACGATGGATACTTTGACTGTGTCAAGATTAAGTTATGAACAGACAAAGCGAGAAGACGAATTTATTCTACAAGATATCGAATTTAAGGCAGCTTCAGGGAGCTTAACAGTCATTACCGGGCCAGTAGGTAGCGGAAAGTCTACCCTTCTCTCAGCAATCGCTGGCGAGGTACCAGACAAACAGGGGAACGTAATCTGCAGAGGGGCTCTTGTTTACACACCTCAGATAGCTTGGGTATTCTCGGGAACAATTAGAGAAAACGTTTTGTTTGGCGAACCATACAATGAATCCAAGTACAAAAGAGTCATTGAAGCTTGTGCGCTGAGAGAAGACATTCATCTGTTTCCCGATTGTGATGAAACAATGGTTGGAGAACGCGGTGAATTGTTGAGTGGGGGTCAGCGCGCCCGAGTAAGCTTGGCACGCGCAGTCTATGCAGATGTGGACCTTTACTTGTTCGATGACCCCTTAAGCGCTGTAGATGTCAAGGTTGGTCAACATATTTTTGAAAAATGCTTCAAAGACCTGCTGGGTCAAAAAACCCGTGTGATTGCTTCCAACCAAGAGCAGCTTATGGAAGTGGCTGGTAATATCATTGTGTTATATAAAGGCCGTGTTTTGGGTGAAGGAAGCTTTAATGAGCTGAAAGAAAGAGGAATTCTGAATGAAACTATTGATCCACTCTATACCATGAAAGTAAGCAGTGGCAAGTCAGATCACCACCTTGATGAATGTAGTAATGAGGACGATGGTGCATGGGACAAACCTTTCCCACCCCAGGTCAAAAACGAGGCAAAGGGTCTACAGATATCGGAAGAAGATCGCATGATCGGAGTTGTGTCATCCAAGCTTTACTGGAATTACTTCAGAAGCGGGTTGAATTCGCTGGCGATAATTTCATTATTCCTACTTTTTCTCATCTCTCAAGGTAAGCGACAGTTTTACAGGTTTAGAGAACGGATTGTATCATCGAAAAGCCCCGAGGCGTCATATATTTTCATCAATATAATGATGAGTTAAGGACAACCCTACTAGAAACTACGGTCTCCTGGAGAGACGACGGGAAGAGAAACCCTGCGCTACTAAGTTGCAGTATACGCTTTCGTGAGAGCACCGTACGCATGCGCACATTATCACCCCTTACATCATCCGCTGACGCCCCCTAAGAATATCCAGTTTGCATAACCGAGTCTTTCAAACGCAGCTTGTAAACTGCGTTTCATCCGCCCCGATCCTCTTAAAAAATACACAATACACAAACTCTTACGTAGCGCCGAGATAATTGTTGTTTTACTTCTCAAACCCTTTTGCTTTTCTAACTTGACGTTGCCGTCGCCGTCGCAGTTGTTTTAAACTGTTTTTGTCTCACTCTTTTCACAGCATTGCTAGTTTCTCCTGATGTATGGCTGTCTATTTTGACACAGAAAAGTCCAGACGATCAGCGTAACAAGACGAATATAACCATTTACGGTTGTCTGGTCACCGCAGCCTTCATATTTGCCATCATCCGTGCGCAGGTATTCCACCTGGCTTCACTGAGATGCTCAGAACGTCTTCACGACAAAATGGTTGTGGCTGTTCTACAAGCCCCGGTGCTCTTCTTTGACTCCAATCCCGTGGGGAGAATCATGAATCGTTTCTCTAGAGATATAGGTTGTTTGGACGAATTACTGCCTAAAACGTTTCTGCTCTCCATTCAGTATGCTTTGATGATGTCGACAGCAATTCTTGTGCCAGCTGCCACGAATCCTTGGCTTCTACTGGTTTTCGTACCCGCCACTTTCCTAGCTGTCTACATTACCAGCTACTACTTGAAGACATCTAGGGAACTGAAAAGACTGGAATCCATTTGTCGCAGTCCGGTTTTCTCTCACGTTTCAGAGACCCTGAATGGACTGGACACGATTCGGACAAGGAAAAGACAAGATGACTTTGTGGATCGGTTTCATGGGTGTGTTGAAATCTTTTTTTATTTTTTCATTTTTGCATGATATAGTGATTACAGACAAACACCTCGGGAAAACGGACACCTATAGAGTTGATCTATGCCGCTCTTTACTCCCAGGGTTTGTGACATCACTCTGAGACGGACCCAACGGTGTCCGTCTTCGGAGAGTCACGGCTATCCCAGAAAATATCACTTCTTTCTACTCTCAAGCGCGATTACTCAAATGGTTTGAAGGTTAGGTTGCGTTTTTCGAGTTTATAATGAGACACGTTAAATTGAACCAAAATCCTTTTTTGACAGACAAGAAACTCTCAGCAGATGATTCTTCAAGTTACTATGGCATACACACACTCAATGATATTGGCTGTTTTAAGCAATCTAACTGGTTCGCTAACTAGGAAAATTGAGCATCATTCACTACCTAGCGAGTGGAAAATGCATGATCTTCAAAACAGAAACAAAATGAATTGAATGAAAGAAGATCAGAAACAAGTTAAGAAGCTTTTAACCGTTTTATGATGACGTTAAGATAAATAAGTGTGTTCTACTTTTCAAGGCATTGCAAGGCGAATCGCGCATGTCTATCAATGATCTCTGCCGTACAAGCCTGAAATTTTTTTTCAGGCTTTCTTTTCGCAACTGCAAAAGTTGCGTATACAGCTATTTTGAGAAAGGTTGTTGGAAAAAGTGTGCACGCAACAATCCCGAAAGGTAATATGGGATATGATCGATACACTGTTGCTGGCGACTGTAGCTGTCGAACCTACTTTTGTTGCTTTCCTTTAGCACTCGCAAACACATTTCCATGGCCTTTCGTGCCAATTCTTTCAAATTTCTCTGAAGAACAGTGAACTTAAAACCACCCACAATGCCTTTCGGGATTGTCGCGTGCACTTTTTCCGACAACCTTTCTCGAAATAGCTGTATAACTGCCATGATCATCCTTCATTTAATTCTTCACTCCGCATTTCAAGTATATGATTTTCATATATTCAAAGCTTGATCTCTTAACTGTTACGAACAAATCAGTGCACGGTAGAGAGACGGGACATGGCCAATATAATTCGTATACCCAACGTTTCGACACATCACCAAAGCGGAAAGGTCTTTTAGCGTCAGTAGCATACGGTTGTGGAACAGTCTGCCTGATGATATTAAAAGAAAAAACAGTCTTTCATCTTGTAAGAATGCTTTGATGGCTTATTTTAGAGATTCTTATATTGATATTAATAATTTTGAAGCCTTATTGTAAATATATCTTTGTATTGTTAGGTCAGTTAATTTAGTTGAAGGCCAATGGCTTATCAGCTTCTGCTGTTATGTGATAACTTATTTTAATGATTCTTATATTGATATTACCAATTTTTAAGCACTATTGTAAATATATATATCTGTAATTTTTAGGTTAGTTAGTTTAGTTGGAGGGTCACTGGTTTATCAGTTTCTGCTGTTATGTGTTTACCCTCATTTTAAAATAAAGTTGATTGTTATTAGACTTAAAGTATAAATAAAAACCACAGGCCAACCAACCTCTGATGAGGGAGTCATTTTGCCAAATAATTTCCCTACCGTCGGCTAGAAACGGGCAAATTAGAAATCATCTTGTATCTCATGAAGAAAACAAGAATTGCTTTGGGAATATAATAAAATTTCTTTTGTTTTACTTCCTCAGGTATCAAGATGTATACAGTCAGGTATATATTATGGTGAAGGCGAGTGCTCGGTGGCTTGGTGTTCATATGGATCTTCTCTCTGCTATATTAATTGGCACAGTGGCAGTGGCTGCCGCTTTGGTTTCTCAAGATGCTGGTACGTGAACCAATATCCAGTCATAACATTGTTTCAACATTGTGAAAGAGAACTTTAAGTTAAATACACTTTTTCGCGTTCTTATATACAGAGGAATCTCGATTTTTCGAACCACCTTTGGAATAGCGTTGAAATTGGTTTAATTGGGCCTTGTCCGGTCCACATAAAATCCATTTGAGCCTTGCTCCGCTACCCCTTGAATACCGAAAAACCCAAACTTTTCTCTTTTGGCTCATTATAAAGCTGAATTTTACAAAACGGAAACAAAATCGAAATTATTTTTATCCAAATTGAACCATTTTCAACAATCACAAGGCCAAGTAAACAAAAACAAAACAAATGTTTCTCTTCCCGCCCACTTCTTCATTTTTCGGGTCCGCCTTCCTTTTTTATTATTTGTTATTGGAAAAGTTGGAACGCACAAAAACCAATAGCGGCGGTATGCCAAAAGAGGGGACACAAGCCAAAGAAGAAAACCAAGAAACTTTCAGGCAGGCTAAATGATAAAGCCAATCATTCATTAAACACTGCGTCCTGCTGACGTTTTTAATGCAACCTACCTAACGAGATATAAGTACGACACATCACGTTGCTGTTTAAAACATGTACCCTATTAACCAAATTTGTGCTTCAGCAATATCTGATGTTTCGTTCATGAATATTTGTCCGAAGAACTCCATCTTATCCCTGGGAGAAGGCAATAATAATTTGTAAAGAAAGCATTAAATTTAAAAGTAAATAAAAGTCAGAAATAACAAAAAAGATCCCGCCTGCTCTCTTTTTTGAAGAAAGGCGGACGAGAAACAGTTGCCGCGTTTTTTTTTTTTTTTTGCTTGGCCTAACAACTATTAAAAAACAACTATTAATAGTAGCAGTATTTAGGACGGGTTTTTTTTACCAAAAGCGGTAGGATGCAAAATTAATAAGGTCAGCTGTAACAAAAACTGATAAACACGTTAAATATTCTTTTTCTTTTCCAATTAGCGTTTGCTGGTCTAGCCCTTGTTTACGTTATTCAAACTTCAGTTGTCACACAATACGCCGTCAGGAAAGCCTCAGAAGTCGAGAATTTAATGACATCAGTTGAACGAGTTATCACGTATACCAAACTTGAGTCTGAGCCTGGATACAAAGTGAAACGACTTCCCCCGGAAAATTGGCCAAGTGAAGGAAATATCACATTCCATGACGTATCACTGACGTATTATCCGGGGGGTCCTCAAGTACTGAAGAAAATCAACCTCACAATCAAAGGAGGAGAAAAGATTGGTATCGCTGGTCGAACGGGCGCAGGAAAATCTTCATTTGTCGCTTCTCTAATGCGCATGCCCGAAGCCGATGGAGGGATAACGGTCGATGAAGTTCGAATAAAGGACATAAACCTCTGCGAAACACGACGCTCAATATCAATTCTAGGCCAAAGTCCTGTTCTTTTTAGTGGATCACTCAGAAAAAACCTCGATCTTATGGAGCAGTTTCAAGACGCAGAATTGTGGTGCGCTCTGGAAGATGTACAGCTGAAAGATTTAGTGGAAAGCCTAGAGGGGCAGCTGAATCATGAGTTATTGGAGTACGGGGGAAATGTCAGTGTAGGAGAACGCCAACTGATCTGTTTGGCTCGACTGTTGTTACAGCAGAACAAGATCATTATCTTGGATGAGCCAACTGCACACGTTGATCCAGACACAGAACAAACCATCTGGAAGGTCGTTCATGAGAAGCTGAAGGACTCCACAATCATCACTATAGCTCATCGTTTAAACACGATAAGAGACTGTGACAGGATACTGGTATTAAAGGACGGACAAGTTTAGGAATTTGACAGGTTCGATAGGTTATTGAACACAAAAGGAAGTGTCCTGCGAGAAATGGTTGAAAAGCTAGGAGTGTGATTTGCATTTTTACTATTAGGTATCATCAATGCGAATGTTGGTAATGCGAAAAATATTGGATTAAGAAACCACGGGAACGGGAGATAACCCGGTTAATTTTTTTAGTACGATCGCAGCCAATATTGTAAAACAATATACAGCGGGTTTTCTAATATGTAGCTGTTTTATAGCCAGATATTTAGCACAAATAAGAAACTCCGAAATTTTTACCTGAAATGGGTCAGGCTTTCAGGTAGAACTTAGACGCGCGTATGATATGATCAAGAGCTTCGATTTTGTCCTGGATTGATTGTCGAGGCCGTTTGCTAATAACGCAAGGGTGAAAGGAAACCTGGACGCGTGTTTCTCCGAAGGGGAAAAAATCAACACCCAAAAGTACCGTTTCTTTCTTTTTAGAAAAACAGTTTTCATCGGCCCATAGTTGAAATACACATTGTTACTTAATTACGTAATGTGATTTATCAATCTGTACTATTGGAAAAAGTGTTATTTATTACAAAATCATCGACTTTAAAGTTCATTCTATCTCTTTATGCCCATTCAAAATGTCACAAAATGGACACCATCATTTCAATAATAAAAAAAAAATCTTGCAGTCCTGTACATTTCCTCTGTACGAGGGAGTTACTAGACTTACTAGAACGTCAACGCATAACCTCCCTGCAAGAAACAGGTTCAACATGAGCTCAGCAAGGAGTTCCAAACTAGCAGACCGCTTCCAGCTATGGCTGAGAAAACAGTCGGAATGGTGATGAGCAAGGTATGTTCAGTTTGTCCAACAGGCACTTGAAAAACAAGGAGATTCTCCTACATAACATACGACAAAAATTCTTAATAACAATATCAACATAATGTTCTAAGAAATCAGTATCGCCAGAAAAACACTAGCCTGGGAAAAACAGCCGACATTTCGAGACGCCACCCCTGGTTTCCCCGCGAAATGA